TCCCCTTTACGCCTGGAGTCCGGGAGGTTGCCTTGCGGTGCCTCCAGGACCACCTCCTCCTGGCTTCGAACCTGTTGGGACGCCACCTCGGCGCCGTCCGTAGGGTGGGGGGAGGAAGCCGTTGGGAGCGAATTCACATTCGACGAATCCAGGGAGCCGCCTGACGACTCGTCGAGCCCGACCTTGGGCGGACTGCACAATCATGTTCGACGTAAGGAAAAGATGTGCAATGGGGGAATACTATGAATCACTCGGGTATCCGGATACTTACGATCTCGCCAGGGGCTTGGACCTGTGCGGCCACTCCTCTTCACCGTCGTCGGCGTTGGTGGAGTAGTCCGGAGGAGGGGTCTTCCGCCTCTTGGACCCTTCGGCCTCCCCGGTTGGGGCGGCCTTCCTTTTCTTCCCTCCCCCCGCTGGAGGGGGAGAGGTCTCTTCTTCCTCCTCCTCGTCTTCATGTGAGGATTGCGCCTTGGAGTCGTCGGATGGTGAATTCGACACCTCCTGGCGCCGGGCGCTCTTTCTAGTCCTCATGGCCTTCTTCTTGGCCTTCTTCTCTGGCACCACGTAAGGTGCCGGAGCCAGCAGCTTCGCCAAGCGAGCGTCCGCTGGGCCTTCGGGCAAAGGAGCCGGACAATTGATCTGTCCGGACATCTCCTGCCAATCCTGTCAAAGGTAAGGGAACTTAGATCCCGCATGGAGTCAAACTATGAAAACTAATACCCCGTAAAAGGTGAAAACAGCTTACCGCACGAGCGTGACGCTGCATGCTGAATCCGCAATCCTCGGTAGCGGATGCGGGGGCCTCGGCGCCCTTGAAAAGCACCTTCCAGGCATCTTCATACGTCGTGTCGAAGAGCCTGCTCAGAGTTCGGTGCCGCGCCGGGTCGAACTCCCACAGGCTGAAAGCCCGTTGTTGACACGGAAGGATCCGACGGATGAGCATAACCTGGACTATGTTGACAAGTTTGAGATTCCTGTCCACCAGGGTTTGGACGCATGTTTGGAGTCCGGTCAGCTCTCCTTTTTTACCCCATGACAGGCCCGTCTCTTTCCAGGAGGTGAGCCGCGTAGGGGGTCCGGATCGAAACTCGGGGGCTGCGACTCATTCAGGGTCGCGTGGCTCGGTGATGTAAAACCACCCCGACTACCACCCCTTTAGGGACTCCACGAAGGAGCCCTCGAACCATAGGACGTTGGGCATCTTGCCCACCATGGCGCCTCCGCACTCTGCTTGGGTGCCGCGCACCACCTTCGGCTTGACATTGAAAGTCTTGAGCCATAGGCCGAAATGGGGGCGGATGCGGAAGAAAGCCTCTCACACGACGATAAATGCCGAGATGTTGAGAACAAAATTTGGGGCCAGATCGTGGAAATCCAGGCCATAGTAGAACATGAGCCCCCGGACAAATGGGTGGAGAGGGAAGCCCAGTCCGCGGAGGAAATGAGGGAGGAACACCACCCTCTCATGGGGCCTAGGGGTGGGGATGAGCTGCCCCTCTTCGGGAAGCCGGTGCGCAATGTCGTTAGACAAGTATCCGGCCTTCCTCAGTCTTTTGATGTGTCCCTCCGTGACGGAGGAGACCATCCACTTTCCTCCCACTCCGGACATGGCTGGAGAAGGTTGAGGTGGGGTGTGCGGACTTGGGCGCTGGAGCTCGAGTGCGCGGAAATGGATAGGCGAAGGAGGAAGAAGGCGTGGATGAAAAGGTGGATCCTTATCCCCTTATATGGGCGGACGCGACTATGCGTCCCCACCAGTCTGGTAAAACTCGCTTATCTCCCAAGTGCCGTAGTCAATGGCACGGTTGGGTTACCCACACCCGTATTGATGAGAATCCCGGAATAAGGGGACACGATCTCTGCTTTAACAAGACGTGCCAAGGAAGCCGCCTCGCTAAACGCGCCGAGGTGGGACAGTAAAACGATTTGAATAAAGACTTGGCCGTGGTGTGATATCACGCTACGGAATACGTCAGAAGATTAGATTTGTGTAAATGCTATTCTCTCTATGGTAATATGTGGAAACTTATTTTGCAGAGCCGGACACTACCTTTGTGTTCAAAATCTTCTATGAAGTACTTGGAGGAGGAACCCGCCTTGCAATGCCGAAGACAATCTGCGCGCCGGACTCGTCGTCATTGAAGCCTGGTTCAGGGGCTACTGAGGGAGTCCTGGATTAGGGGGTGTCCGGGTGGCCGGACTATACCTTCGCCCGGACTCCTAGACTATGAAGATACAAGATTGAAGACTTCGTCCCGTGTCCGGAAGGGACTTTCCTTGGCGTGGAAGGCAAGCTTGGCGATACGGATATGTAGATCTCCTACCATTGTAACCGACTCTGTGTAATCCTAGCCCTCTTCGGTGTCTATATAAACCGGAGAGTTTTAGTCCGTAGGACGAACAACAATCATACCATAGGCTAGCTTCTAGGGTTTAGCCTCTCTGATCTCGTGGTAGATCTACTCTTGTACTACCTATATCATCAATATTAATCAAGCAGGACGTAGGGTTTTACCTCCATCAAGAGGGCCCGAACCTGGGTAAAACTTCGTGTCCCCTGCCTCCTGTTACCATCCGACCTAGACGCACAGTTCGGGACCCCCTACCCAAGATCCGCCGGTTTTGACACCGACAACGGACATGACGGGGAGTGTCGAAATGGTTGAGACATGAAGATTGATATATTGGAAGGTTATGTTTGGACACCGAAAAGGTTTCGGATAGGTTCGGGCATTTTCCGGAGTACCGAGGGTTACCGGAACCCCCCGGGGGGTTAATGGGCCTTCATGGGCTTCGGTGGAAGAGAGGAGGATGCGTCCAAGTGGAGGGGCGCGCCCCCCCAAGCCCAATCCGAATTGGGAGGGGGGCCGCCCCCCTTTCCTTCTCTCCCTCTTCCCTTCCCTTCCCCTCCTAGTTGGACTAGGAAAGGGGGGAACCTACTCCTAATAGGAGAAGGATTCCCCCCCTTGGGGCGCACCCCATGAGGCCGGCCGGCCCCCCCTCCACTCCTTTATATACGGGGGAGGGGGGCACCATATAGACACACAAGTTGATTTCTTAGCCGTGTGCGGTGCCTCCCTTCACAGATTTTCACCTCGGTCATATTGTCGTAGTGCTTAGGCAAAGCCCTGCGTCGGTAACTTCATCTTCACCGTCAACACGCTGTCGTGCTGACGAAACTCTCTCTCGGCCTCAGCTGGATCTAGAGTTCGAGGGACGTCACCAAGCTGAATGTGTGCAGATCGCGGAGGTGTCGTGCGTTCGGTACTTGATCGGTTGGATTGTGAAGACGTTCGACTACATCAACCCGTTACTCAACACTTCCTCTTTCGGTCTACGAGGGTACATAGATACACTCTCCCCTCTCGTTGCTATGCATCTCCTAGATAGATCTTACGTGATCGTAAGAATTTTTTTTTGAAATACTGCGTTCCCCAACAATTCCTTTGTATGTTCGAGCATCCATGGCATGAAAATGAATCTTTTTTCAACACTTTAGATTTGTACACATTGCTCGACGTTAACATATGGAATGAACATGATTCATACACCATTTTCGTGGCATACCCGAAGGGAAAGGTGGTGCTTGAGGATGGGTTGGTCCAAGAAAGAAGGTGAGCCAGAGCAATGTCGAAGTGGAGGTTCTATCCGAGTCATAAACTGAACATCGGTGTATGTTTTGAAGGCATGGAATTGCCTACGCGGTTCTTTTAATTGGTTGTATGTGCTTGCTTTCATGCAGAAGAAGCTGCTATCAATTGGGTGGGTTAACATGTGGCGGCAACATCACACTCAACAGTAGATAGTCGGGACTGATTTTGGAAGAGAAATGGACCGATGCCACTTTCTGATACAGATCACACATGAAAAAAATAGTGTGATAACCTGCACATGAGCTTTCTACATTGTTTGTAGTTTGATGGTTAGCCACGAATCGACTAATGAATTATCCCCTAAATGATTGAAACAATCATTAGAGTCGCAATAAACTCTCTCGTTTACGGCGACATAATTTATGAAGATAATATAGGCTTTGTTTATCAGAAAAACACCGATGTACATGGTTCCATGTGCATTCTGATGAACATTATTTTTTAAAAATAGCAAAGTATTTTAAACATTATTTTATAATCAACATAGTCGAGTGCTCCCCTGGCTTGTGAATTTTCGTGATGGCAACATCTGTGTGTTTTCGAGCAAAATAAAATAAAACCGGACCTTTCAACATGCTTCAAAGTTCAAACACATGGTTTTTTATAGCACTGATTTTGTCTTCTTTGTCTAGGACATTAGGACCATTTCTTCACGAAAATTCATATGTGAGGTACTACCATATTTTGTATGAAAAAATTACTATGCTATTTCCCCAATTTTGATATTCATTTAGGCGGTTGTGCATCGGGGAGCCAAAACACCGTGCCCTTCATATTCTCCTTTTTGAGTAAACTTTGCTACTCCTTCCATTTCAATGAATACGGCATGCACACATTTAAAAAGTGCACTCTGACCATAAATTAGATCAATCAAATGTGGGTTATATGTGACAAAACCGCTGAATTCAAATTCAAAAAAAGTTTAAATTGCATAATTTTAAGGCCACAAAAACATATACTCCCTCCATTTTCAAATTTTTGTCTTGCTAGAGATTTCAACAGGTAACTACATACGAAGCAAAATGAGCGAATCTTACTCTAAAATATGTCTACATACATCCATATGTTGTTGTCTATTTGAAATGTCTAGAAAGACAAATATTTGGGAACAGAGGGAGTACAGTACTATAGATCTGATTAAAATTGAATTCTGAAATGCATGCGTGCTATTCATTGGAACGAAGAGAGTAAAAAAAGAGTAGAACGGCTATATGTTTTTTTTGAAAAAAAAACTTGCCTCCGATAAAAGACACTACTGAAAAATCCAGTCCCATATCCAAGCGCATCGCCCGCCTCCTTATCCCTCCCTCCACACCCCTCTTCCCGCCTCCCCAACCGCCGGCGATGCCTCCCCCGGCGGGGCTGCTCCCCTGGCCTTCCCCGACCGCCCCGGCGCCGCGTATCACCACCACGACCCAGCCGCGACCCCCGCCTCGCGTTCGCCCTCCTCCTCCTCCCCCTCCCCCTCGCCGTGCCCCGCCGCCACCTCCGCGGCTCAAGCCGGTCGTCGCGCCAAAACCGGCCGCCTCCCTGCCCCCGCCGCCCGCCATTGTCTCCACCATGGACCCCGCCTCCACCTGCCTCAACTGCACTCACTTCGGCTCGTACGATACTCTCTCGCTCTCTTACCCGACGCGCTGGCGCTCGCTTCTGTGCGTGTGCGTGTGTGAGCTGACTCTTCTGCGTGGTTCGTAGGTGTTCCGGGTGCACTCACGAGTTCGACCTCGACAAGCCGCCGGTGCTGCAGGAGGTGGCGGATTTCTTCAGTGGCCACGGAATCGAAGACTTCACATTCAGCAGGGGCAGGCTGGTACGCGTAGCCCGAAATGTGTGGGATGACATGTCTATTTGGTTTCAACTAAATTAGTTTGCATAGGTTCTGGTCACCCGAGTAACCGAAAAGATTTTTAGGTTCAGAATTTCCCACTTCCCAGTAAATGCATAGTCACCTAAGCAATTGATGTGATTAGTTACTGGATTTGCTTTGCCGCTAAGTCTGAAACTCTGAATGTGGGAACCTTGTTTTTAGTCAGAATGGCGGTGCCGGGCGAAGCTAGCGGTACGTGGAACACCAGAGAAGCCGCTGATTGGCCTGTATCAAGAAGGGACACATACTGTTCAAGATATTCCCGATTGCAGAGGTTAGCTATGAAATCAGTTAACTGTAAGAGTTACACAGTATCCGGCTATCCACTTGTACTTCGTTCTGCTGCATGTTATTTTTATATTCAATCTATTACTCACCGTTTTATTTTCACATTTTTTCAGCCCATCACCCAAGCATTAACTATGCTATTAAGCTTCTGAAGCAAGGTGTGTTCCTGTCTGTTGTGCCTGCTCCATACAGATTAGGGAAACATAGTTTCTTCAAATCACGAAGTGAGGCATAATATGTTAGAACTCTGGTCTTGCAGGTATATCTGAGCTCAGTGTGCAGCCTTTTGATGAAGATGCTGGTACTGGTGAACTAAGATACGTGCAGGTAATTATTACTTTGCTTAATAGCATGTACATAATGTATGTATAACGACACGAAGGAAGTATTCAGTTTTCTTTTGCACCAAGAACATACACCTTATAGATTCTCTTTGTGAATGGGAAAGTTGAAATTTGTGATCTTCGGTCTTCCTTGCTGTAAATCCCAACACAGAATGACCTCATCAAGCATGTCATTATGCCTATAATCCTGATGCATTTGGTTTCTTTATCATACCCCTAGATGACCGTGACGACATATAACACGTCTATTCCCGTTGCGCAAAGATACGAGCAAGGTTAGCTTTATTCTCAATCTGTTCTAAGCTGTACTGTCGATTCTCCAAACCCAAAATAATTGAAATATGTTATTTTCTGCCTAGCGAGAGTTCAAGTTTCATTCGTTTGGAATTCAAGAGACGAGCGCTCCAAAAATTCAGAGAAGTTGAGTTTGTTGCAAGAAGTAAGTTTTCCAACTGAGGTTCAACACATATAGCTGCTTGTCAGCTTTCCTATTTCCTTTAGGTATTCTGCCAAGTCATTTACTTTGCTTTTGTGTACTTTTTATCCTCAATCTTGGTGATTGTACTCATGACAGTTCTTATGGACAAATGGTGGACCAAGAAGTAATTTGCATGTGATTCACTCTATATGGGCCAATTTCCAGACATCAACCAGCAATGTAAGATATGTGTGTGAATTTGGTGGATGTAATATACTCCCTCCATTCATCCGTCCGAAAATACTTGTCGAAGAAATGAATGTATCTAGATATATTTTAGTTCTAGATACATCCATTACTCCGACAAGTATTTCTAGACAAAGGGAGTACTATAATATGTTATAGCTTTTTTCTGATTCAGATGTATATAGACGCATTTTAGTGTGTTTGTTCACTCATTTCAGTCTGTATGTAGTCCATATTGAAATATCCAAAACAACTTATATTTGTGAACGGAGGGAGTAGTTGATTTACTTTTGTTGTATAGTTAAGGCACGTAACGCTTTTGCCATTTTCAATATGGATAGTGGAATAGGTTAAGTTTTATGCGAAGTTAGGATAATGGTACTACAGTCTAGTCTTAGAATTTTTGCAAAGTGATGAATACTGGTGATAAGATTGAAGGTGGAATATGGAGTGCATAATTCGTATGGTTCCATTGTACCCAATTCCCATCTCTACAAACCCAAATATTAATTTTTTATTTTTACCATGAAATCCAAATATTACTTGATCTATTTTTTTCTTAAACTGTTAACTAATACAGTATGTATCAAAGAAAAGATCGTGCACTATAGTGCTAAAGAACTTTCTAGGTCAAGCTGTTCGGGTCACGAGTGCCCCAGTTATAAGAAGCTTATGCATATATTAATCAAATTTGTATTAAATACTCTCCTCTGATAAGCTGTCAACATTTTTACAAGCTGCAAGGACCAGGTGTACAGCATGAGGAAATCCTATAGGACAAAAATATCAAGGCTATGTTCAGATTTCCTTTTTGTTCTTACTCTAAAGTCTAAACTGATTGCTTACAAGTTATAAGACATTGATTACAAGTTAGCTCCCTTATATTTACCTGTTGGTTGACCAACTACATCTATGCGGCATTTTCCTATAATAATGTTGTTGCATCTGCAGATAATTTTTGGGCATAAATGGAGACATATCGGCGGGGAGGCAGATCTGTGGGAGCGTTTTGGGGGAGTTGATATTTGTCTTGACCCTTATAGCTTTGGGCAGGCCAATACTCTGGTATGTGTGATTATATCAGGATCAAATTTTGTACCAAAATGTTGTGAAGCTTGATCCAAAACAGGATAACTACTGTTATAATGAAGATGGCCAGACGGTGTGGCCGCAAGGGTTTGGGTAGACTCATGGTTGCGAAGAGAGAATAAATTGATTGTTCTTGCTTGCCTCCTTACAATTGGGGTACATCCCTTATGTGGACCTTCTAGGCCGGCTACTGTTCACTGAACAGTAATTCCAGCATGTGATAGCTGGGCACGTATCCCTAACTAAAATAACTTGACTCCCAAGAGGAGAACTCCTAACTGGATACATACTCTAGCATAGCTGGACTCCTAAATGGGTACAAACTCTAGCATGGCTGGACTCCTAAATGGATACAAAATCTATTCTTTTAAATGTATGAGAGGAAGCAAGAAAAATATATATTTCTATCCTATATGAAGTCCATCGGCCCTAGTATATAGTCCGTTTCCCCTTCCAATACCCTAATTCCCTTCAAGACATACCATCAACCATCTTCAGCACTGTGTTTGTCTTGATGTGAACCAAGGTTCACAACAAAGTAAAAAAATCTAGGCAGTTCTATTTATTAGGTGCTGTTGATTAACCATAGAGCCATTCCATACACCATATATTCTAGCTGCACATGGTTCGATTGTGTATCTTAACTTAACTTACGGTAAGTTTGTCATGCCAGCCTTTTCTTACACAGTGTTGTGTTTCCTCTGCAGTCTTTTAACTCGTTACTGCATAAGTTGATCAAATATGTACCACGGGGCTCAACAGTTGTTGATTTATACTCTGGTGCCGGTGTTATTGGGTTAGCCATCGCGGCTTCTAGGAAATGCAGGTGAGTACAAAAATGCATGTTTAACTATCCGTTGCTGCTTCTCGGAAATGTAGGCGAGTAAGTAAAATGGATGTTTAACTAGCAAATATTGTACCTTTTTATGTGCCAAGATTAGATATGAATATTGCCTGTCAGGTGCATGAGGGCAACATCATTTCCCAGACATTCCAGATGTTGTGGAGCATACTTAAATTCATTGATATACTAAACAATTTACGATCTGATACACTATCTTAATGCTTGTACAATCTAGAGATTCTAGAATACTTCACTAATGTTTTAGTTCAAAGAGTTAGTTTTTTATTCCCTATTTGGTATACTTGTTGATAGCTTTTGCTCGAATCAGTTAGCCTTGCTCTATGTGTTGCTTGTAGGCCACTTAGTCAAGTGTAGGAGACCGCTTGTCTTGCTTGTAGCACTAAGCCACAAGTAGTGATATCGAAACTAGTGTGGTATAGTGAATGCCATTCTGGAACTTAATATATTAGTTTAGTTCAGTTAAACTTTGCCAAACCCTGTGTAAGGTCTGGCCTGAAAATGCTAAATTTGAGCCTGGTCTGGCTCGGAAAAAGAGCGCCAATATAACTGTGTTCTGGCCCAAAGCCAAGCAAAGTCTGAGAAACCAAAGTATGTTGGTTTCCTCTAGATATATTAATTTACACTATTTGTTTGTAAAAACTTGTGGGCCTGGTTCTAAAGCTAGCTGACTCAAGCTGAGATTTAGGACACCCAGTCTGCCCTGGGGCTTCTCTATTAAAATATTTATAAGAACTTTCAGTGTACCATTTATAGTGTCCCACTTCTCTTTCTTTTTTAGAAACTCTTATTGAAATATTTCAAGTGAGGTTCTTATACTTGCAGGTCTGTGAGATGTGTTGAGATCAATAAAATGTCGAAATTGTCTTTTGAGAAGTCAGCAAGCCGACTTCCACCAAACCTGGGTTGCACCATAACTTGGCACAATACTGATGCTTCAGCTGTATGCAATTGAACCTGTATTTCTGTAATGGTTACATTTCATATTATGATGATTAATTTGGAACCTACATCATGGTACCAGGAACCCATTCACTGGCTTGAAGGGTCAAGTGTTGCTATCGTGGATCCTCCCAGGAAAGGACTGCACCCTTCTGTTATCAATGCTCTACAGAGAGTTGCTTTGTCTGAGCGCAAGGCGTTCAAGGCCAAAAGGTAGATATAAGAAGTAATTCACAGTCCACATGCTTTCATGCTGTCAGTTATTTGACAAATATGTCGACAGTTTTCTTAAATTATGATATCCTTTTTCCATTGTGGTAGCTTTATCGGTAATGTTATTTTCTGAACAGTTCACTTACAAAGGTCAAAGATGAGAAGAGACCATGGATCCTGCGAGCAAGGGAACCAGCTGTTCATGTTGATAGTACAATCATGGAAGAAAGTAGTGGAATATGGCCAGAGACCCTCATATACATCAGCTGCGGATGGGACAGTTTTAAAAAGGTGACAGTTGCTAGCTTACGAGGAGTCCAAATCTTGTACCCTTCCTACCTCAGTTTTATGGTGCTTCAGTTCTCTTATATATAAGCATTTCATATGCTAGAGGGCACCCCCTGCACCCATGGGCATATGCACCCACTTTTGAAAAAATCCATTTTAAGCATGTTTTAAAATGTCAAAAAATTCAAAAGAAAATATCACGCATACATGTTCACAAATGTGTGTACGCGACACAAAGTTTTGCGGAAAAATGTTTTGTTGTTCTGTCTCCATAAAAAAGACAAATTTCAGTACTTTTAAATAGTGTAACACGACACATTTTTTTGTCTTTTTTTGCACAAGCCACAAAAAAGTTATTTTTGCGTGAAACTTTATGCACACACATAGAACATAGAGACGTAACCATGTAACACTTTTCAGATTTTTTTAGCATTTAGAAATGTGTTTTTCAAAGTGGGTTCATATGTACCCGTGTTCATCTATGCACTTTCCTTTCATATGCAGGACTGCAAAAGCTTGATATCCAACGAGGCCTGGCATTTGGAGAATGCACATGCTTTTAACTTCTTCCCTGGCACTGATAGGTACGGGTCTCAACCTCTTGACTGGAAGCTGTCCGTATGTTTTACTGCAACCTTTATGGGGTTCATTGGAAGATCCTTATGCACTGTTTTAAGCTCTAGTACTGCGCAAGCAAAAATCAAGTTGCTCTGACCAACCCTTGCAACCTGGCTTGGGTGATTATATAGATTTGAGACTTCTAGGCTAATTAAGTTTGAAGATAGTCAGGAGCAGTCTCATGAATATTTCAGTGGCACATGGCTTTTTTTCGCTGATCAAAATAATTAACTTGAAGATGCTTCTTGATATTCTTAATTAATGAACCTGTCTAAAGCTAAATCTGCCTGTGATGACCTGTTCAAATAACTTCGACCTCACTTTCTCCTTCTCCACCCATGCAACCCGTTATATTCTTGATTTTGCACATTAGTTGCAGGCAACAAGGCGTGATGCTAGTTTGCCTTTTCTATTATGATGATTCGGATGATTGCTCATGGTCCATGGGCCCTTTATTTTCTAGTTTCCTAATAAACAAGCTTTGTTGGCTGTATGCATTACTGATGCAGCATCGAAGTCCTGGCGATCTTCAGACGGGACTCTGGAATTGCTCAGAAGAAAAGAAAAACGAAAACAAAAGCAAAAACGAAAACAAAAGCGAAAAAGAAGAAAACCAAGCCATCGAAAGTCTGACCAGACAGAAACGATTTGCTCATACGAAAAGGCTGGAAGTGGCACGGGCTGTGGTGCTAATCTGGCGTATGCTTGCATGTTTACCGCCGACCCAGAAAGTGATGGGTTGCCGCGAGGGATTTCACACCGGTCAAACGAAACATCAACTCAAGGGTCTCAATTTAGGGCAAGGTATTTGTAGAAACTCACATAGCTAGTGTCTCAATCAGGAACTTACATTCTGTGCTAGTACTGGCTTATTCCCTTGTTGTGTAAACCAGCAGTGAAACTGTGCAGTACAGGTTAGCTTAAGATGGGAACTCGAGCGCAAGGGGACTGATGTTAGCCTCTGTTTCACCAAATTTTGGCCGTGCATTTCAGTTCGCCGTTGTTGTTGGAAATATAGAGCGTAGACTATCTGCAGTGTTCTGTATCTAGGGAGGACACAGAACCTCAACCTTTTGTCAAATGAAACATCATTGTATCTTTAGGTTGTATATACTTTTGTTTTCGATTACTCAATCAGCCTGTATCTACCACCGTTAGGATGTGGCCGGGGGAAAAAATCAACGTGTATGTCCGGAGAATTTAGCAAAAGGCACCAAAGTTGTGTTGGAAATATGAGCAATTTATCAAATGATTTTATTAACGGAAATAGTAAATAAAGCATGACTAATATAGCAGAGATAAAGCAAGTCATGCAATCTGGCAGAGAGAAGGTAAATAGCATTTGCATATATGAACTTGAACTAAACACATCTAGAACAGACACTAGATGAAGAACCTAACATATGTAGGGCAGAAACTAGAACAAAGAACTGTGGCAAGACTTCTAACAGAAAGAGCAAGAACATGTACCGGACAGCAGCAGCAGAAGCACTGGACTTGGGGTCGACATCCTCTCCAGCCATGTCGTTGATGAGGTTGTCGACGTCGGGGAAGAAGTGGTCGTCGGAGTCCGTGATGAAGAAGTCAGTAGTCGCGTGGAGCGCTCCCGCGAACAGGCTGCAACGGGAGGTCATCGGCTCGGCTATTCCCGCAACCCGCGGCGCGGCGCGACGAGGCGTGGCGTGGCGGGCGACAGAGGAGGAGCGCGCGTGGATGTCCCTCTTGTTCTCATGCTCATACAAATGGGGAAAGAACCTCCCTTATAAAGAGGTCCAACTCCCTCTAAACTAGCAATGTGGGACTAAACTTTAGTTCCATCTCTTGCCTTGCATGAATGGGCTGCGCGGGCCTCTAGGATTTGTTAGGAATTTCTGAAACTGCTATTGGGCTAGGCCCAAAATAGACAAAATTCCAGCAATTCCCCACCAGATCCCAGAGGCACACAAAATTTGCCTTTGGTTCCAAAACACTGTTTTATATACCGGTACTGCAGTGGAGACTGTTGAGTTGAATTTCCACCTAGAACTCTATGCTACACTAGTAAGCAACTTGAACAGTGAACTAGGCCTTGAACTACAAGTTTTCTACCAATCCAGCTTCACATAAAGCCTTGACCGATACTAGGCTACCGTGGGTCTTCCCCGCGGGTGGAGCTTATGCGCCATACTCCGTGACCTTTCATGAGTTTACTAGAGAGAACCCTACTCTCATAGATTGCAACGTTTGACAATCAGACTCATATAGGTGTGTTCTTCAAAAGATGTTCTGCAGGACAACATCTCTGCTTAAATGAGCCTCTTAGAACACATTAATATATACATCAACCTGCCATGGAGACTATGAGAGTATTGCATCTTCATGGAGTGGTATTGTTAATAGTAAGGATACTCTCCTCTCAGTTGATCAACAGCTTGTCTTCCACATCTAATTCACGGGATCTCCGATCACAAAGAATAGGTTACCACTGTGAACAACTCATATTGTGGGTCTCATACCCATCTCCCTCGACGCATTATCTATCACATTATGTTGGGGATATTACTACTGGACATAAACCGTCCAGGAGTGGCCGGGTTAACTCTATGAGGATTAGAAGCACAGGAAGACAAAGGATGGTGGCGTTTTATGAAGGCCCAAGGCCCAAAGGCGGGTTAAGGCCTGTAGATATAAACCGACTTATCATGTAACTTGTATTGTAAGATAGGAGGAATAGAGACCGAGTTGGACACGTTGATGATCCGGCCTCGGGACTCTGTAAACCGACGGACGTCGACCTATGTATATAAAGGGACGACCCGACCGCGGTTTAGGGACAACACACACAACAACTCGAGAGCCAGGCAAAGCGGATTCGCTCCCTGGTCATCGAAACCCTAGCAATTCCATCACAACTGGAGTAGGCTTTTACCTTCATCGTAAGGGGACGAACCAGTATAAAACTCTCGCGTCCTTTGTCCGCTTTAACCCCTTTAAGCTAACCCGTAGCGATGGCTCCGCGACTAAGTCTTTTCACAAGGACATCTGTCGTGACAAAACCACGACAGTTGGCGCCCACCGTGGGGTTATCGCACGATGGTTTCGAGTCCTTGAAGGCAAGCTTCGACGGACTCAAGGAATACGCTGTGGGCCGGATGACTAAAAGTCGTCGCGGCAAGCTCTACATCGACGATGCAGGATGGGGTCCCGAGGCCGGTTCAGTCGAATATGGGTACCGGGTCCCCTTTGGTGGAATTCACATCTTCATCGGCAAGATCGGCGAACCGGGCCTTGAGCCGGACATCTGCACCGACATCATCGAGACGGCTCAGCGTGCAAGCTCTGCTTAGTTTCAGCCCACCGTAAAGCATGTCTTCGTGGGTGCCATCCATGGAGCGGAATATGAGGATAGATCGGCATCTGGTGGCGAAACCGTTGTCTGCTCTGATGACGAGTCTTCAACCGGAGAGACCGAGTCGCTGTACCAGCTGCAGGATGGCCGGATTAGTGGAGGTTCTGATGGCAACAGTATTCCGGACCCCCTTGATCTGCCAAGCCGGGTCGCGGTCTTGATGGCCGGTACACAACCAGCGCAGCACTCTTCTACCGCCGCGGCAATGATCTCCGGTTCAGCAACAGCAACACCAGCGGGAGCAGGGGGCTCTGCGCCGCCTCCGGCTTAGGTTTTGTCCGATCTGTTCGACGCTTTAGCAACATTGCTCGCAACAGAGGTGGACGCGGCAAACCGGGATCAACACAACGCAGAGATTACGAAGGTGAAGGATCGGATAACTCAAGCTAAAGCGGACCTGGCAGCAGAAAACACCAGGATGGCTACAGAGCGGGCCGGATTGGAGGCTCAGGCGTACCGGCTTATGCTGGATCAGAGCGCATCAGATGACGTCATGAGAAGATACCGATCGCGCCTTCCGTCGGTCTTGGAGGCGAGGAATCTCTTTAACACGCCGGGAGCGGGCACCAGCAACCAACCTGTGGTGAACCGGGCAGAGGCACCTGGGATCGGGGCACCGGTTCAGCCTCGTGCGACGGATCCGCCGCCTCCGCCTCGTCAGAACGACATTCCACCATGACACGTCTCAACACCTCTGGGTCATTACTCTAACCCATTGGATAACATCGTTGCTGCCGCTTCACGATTGGCAGCTCTCCCGATTGATGGCGAGTCCCCCGTAGCAGTTGAGACACGACGGGCTAGGGAGCTCCTACAGACGACTTTGACTCAGCAGCATTGTTGGGGAACGTAGTAATTTCAAAAAATTTCCTACGCACACGCAAGATCATGGTGATGCATAGCAACAAGAGGGGAGAGTGTTGTCTACGTACCCTCGTAGACCGGAAGCGGAAGCGTTAGCACAACGCGGTTGATGTAGTCGTACGTCTTCACGGCCCGACCGATCAAGCACCGAAACTACGGCACCTCCGAGTTCTAGCACACGTTCAGCTCGATGACGATCCCCAGACTCCGATCCAGCACAATGTCGGGGAAGAGTTCCGTCAGCACGATGGCGTGGTGACGATCTTGATGTTCTACCGTCACAGGGCTTCGCCTAAGCACCGCTACAATATTATCGAGGATTATGGTGGAGGAGGGCACCGCACACGGCTAATAGATCTCAAGGATCAATTGTTGTGTCTAGAGGTGCCCCCCTGCCCCCGTATATAAAGGAGCAAGGGGGAGGGACGGCCGACCAGGAGGAGGCGCGCCAGGGAGGAGTCCTACTCCTACCGGGAGTAGGACTCCCTCCTTTCCTTGTCCAACTAGGAGAGGGGGAAGGAAGGGAGAGAGGAGAGAAAGGAAAGGGGGGCGGGGGGGCGCCGCCCCTTCCTCCTTGTCCAATTCGGACTAGAGGGGGAGGGGGCACGCAGCCTGCCCTGGCCGGCCCTCCTCTGCTCCACTTTGGGCCCATGAGGCCCATTAACTCCGGGGGGGGGGGGGTTCCGGTAACCCCCGGTACTCTGTTTTATATCCGATAACTCCCGGAACCATTCATGTGTCCGAATATAGTCGTCCAATATATCAATCTTTATGTCTCGACTATTTCGAGACTCCTCGTTATGTCCGTGATCACATCTAGAACTCCGAACAACCTTCGGTACATCAAAATATATAAACTCATAATGAAACTGTTATTGTAACGTTAAGCGTGCGGACCCTACGGGTTCGAGAACAATGTAGACATGACCGAGACACGTCTCCGGTCAATAATCAATAGCGGAACCTGGATGCTCATATTGGTTCCTACATATTCTACGAAGATCTTTTATCGGTCAGACCGCATAACAACATACGTTGTTCCCTTTGTCATCGGTATGTTACTTGCCCGAGATTTGATCGTCGGTATCTCAATACCTAGTTCAATCTCGTTACCGGCAAGTCTCTTTACTCGTTCCGTAATACATCATCCCGCAACTAACTTATTAGTTGCAACGCTTGCAAGGCTTATGTGATGTGCATTACCGAGAGGGCCCAGAGATACCTCTCCGACAATCGGAGTGACAAATCCTAATCTCGAAATACGCCAACCCAACAAGTACCTTCGGAGACACCTGTAGAGCACCTTTATAATCACCCAGTTACGTTGTGACGTTTGGTAGCACACAAAGTGTTCCTCCGGTAAACGGGAGTTGCATAATCT